TTTTTTTTTTTCATCTGTTTTTCTACAAGGATTTTTCTCCTTTTTACTCTCTGTTGCTTGTAAATAGTTGGGTCAAACTGCGGTTAAATGGGATTGGATCGGGTTTTCTCACGTCTACCCGCTATTAAAGGTTTAATCTTTATTATGTTTTACAATCTGCATTTGTTTGGGAATGAATTTCGTTAGCGGATTAATTTTTCAGTGGTTCTTATCGGGGTGGGTCGGTACTCTTTGGTATATGTGTGTGTATATATGACTGCAACAACTTTGATATGTGGAAGAAATCAGAACGCTCTTGATGAAATGATACTAATCCTTTGTTCCTGATGATATGGGGCTTTGTAGGCTTTTGATCTCACCTGTTTTCCTCATAGTTGGGTGAACACTCGGGGTTATATCTTTCCAGAGGTGGTGTGCAAAGAACTTGACGAGGTCACCTATAATAGAATGATGACTTTTGCACTTTCCGCTATCGAAAATATCAATAACCAGACTGCCTACTCCAAGACTGATGCCACCACCGTATGTATCTATCAATATGCATATATCCTAATCATAGTCAACAAACGTTTGTGTATCTATATGTGTTATGATTTAATGTTTACTTTTATATTGCTTCAGATGTTAAGGAACCTTTGTAGTTTCATTACAATGTTGTGTTAATTTAAATTATCTCGGCAGATGGCAATTGATGATAAGCTGAGATATATCAAATATTAGTAGTATTTTTTTATTTGTTTCAAATATTATGCTGGTATGTGGCCCTTATAATAGTAACATGTTGCAGAATGGCAGAATGTACAAGTTAGTGGGTATAAACAAGGCTGCTATTGATTCACCCAATGTTGTTCTTTTGTCCATGACTGTTGAGGAGATTGTCCCTGATGGTTCCACTGTTGATGCTCCCAGAACAGAAACTATTGTGGCACAAGTGTATCCTGATTATGATGCTGCTAAGGATAAAAAAGTTTTAGATTGGATGTTTTATCAGGGCTCGAGTAAAGATGAGATGACTGACAAAAATGACACCCGTATCCTTGTCCTGGCCCCCTATGAGGTTGATTCTTTACGTTTATTGACATCTATACGTATATTTTGGATATGGGTTTTTTATCTCTTTGTTAATTTAATGTGTTGATCCATTTTTTTTTTTCCTAATTCTAATGGGTTGTGTGTAATAGAAGAAGAAGAAAAAGAAGGCTAGACATGAAAAAAGGCAGAACACGCAGAGTCGGAGTAGCACGGAGATGGAACATATCGAATATAGTGACGACGACGTCATGGAGTGATGCTAAGTCCTGTCTGTAGCTTGGGATTATTATTACTTATTTGCTTTGGTTTATTTTTGTGTGGATTTTTAGTTATTTATTTATGGTATATGTAAGTAGTAGCGTGGTTGTGTTATCATGTCGGTTACTACAAAGACCCAACAGTGATGCTATGTATTTGTCTTCCTAATGGAAATCTTATTTCATCATCCATGAGTTGGGTTGTATTTTTTTTTTCTTTTCAATTTTATGCATGTTGTTATTTTAAAATAAATGTGCACTATTATTTCATACAAATTTGTACTTATATTATTTTGAAATGTTTATATAGTGAGGTCGTATCACCGTACTAACTACTAATACAAGCACCCAACATGAAAAAAATGGATTAACAACATACGAGAAGGCAAGTTTTTGGCATTCAAAAATATCAAGTTGAGGGGACCGATGGCTTATTTTGGCTCAAAATTGACCGATATAAAATTATAATCCTTGGCACGACGAATTTGGCTAAATTAAAAATTGATTTCCCCCTTTTTCATTTTGATTTTCGAAGCTTTATTAATTAGCGAGACAATTTCCCCAATGGTTTCTTAAGCCATGAATATTAACAAGAGTCATGATCAATCTTTTATCACATGTGGGTCTTCTTTTGAAGAAGCCGATTTTCACGACCAGTTACATTCAGCTGTTTCACATGTCACTAATCGAAATGTCTTGAAAATATTAGTTCGTGAGGATGATGGTTTGCCGAAAACGCAAAACAAAAAATATTGTGTACAAATAGATGTTTAACAATATATAATATTTTTTTTATTCTAAATTGGTTAATTATTTTTATTTACCATAAACGCAAAACATGTAATCGATTACTTCGGTATCAATACCATAAATATAATCACACATATCTCATAAACATCTTTCTTTGGTAGTAAAACAATCATGATTATCTCCTTCAATTATGTTTATTCTTTCAAATAAACCTTATCAAACTAAGAATGTTGTGTATAAATAAGTGTTCAATAATATACAGACTTTATTTTCGTTATATTTTTTTGTGTCATGATCATTTATTCTTATTTAAGTATTCAAGTTGGGATAAAACTTTTGTTTGCTTTGAACCCCACACCAAATGTTTAGTGTGCCCATTATTTCTCATTCACTTAATAAGTTTTGAAAAAATAATATACCACGAGTAACTACTCATAATGTACAATTTTCTACATAATTTAGACAATTTAAATACAAAGCCACCTTTTTAAAAGCACGTAGATAATAAATGCTCCCGCACGGGTAATTACTAGTTCTTTAGAAAAGAAATTGTAATCACGAATTTTAAACAACTTTTCTAGAAAAATTATTTTAGCATGAAAATTAAGGAGTTTTATTTTTTCGTCAAAAAAAGTCAACTATTAGTTAAATATTTAGTTAAGTAACAACTTGTTAAAATTTAGAAAAAGCGGGATATTTTTTAGGACTTGATTACGTAATTATTTTTTTTATATTAGCTAAATGAATAATTAATTAACAACCAAATTTAATTTAAGAAAAGGTTGAATATTGGTTAAATGATTAATTAAGTAACAACATGATATAATTTAGGTAAGCTGAATATTTTTTAGGCTTGATTAAAGAACGAATTTTGGATATTATTTAAGTGCATCGTTAATTAACAATCAGATATTAGGAACAAATTAGATATTAGTTGAATGATTAAGTAATTAATTAACAACCAAATATAATTTAGAAAAAGTTGTATATTTTCTGGCAGATTTTATTTTGTTTTTTAATCGTCGGGTGCATATACGATTACACATATTTTGATTAATTAAGAAAAAAAAGTATATAATTTGGAAAAGTCGGATGAATCGTCGGATATATAACTAACAATCATATACTTTTTTGGAATCGTTGGATACTTATTAGTAAATATTATTCAAATTATTTAACTAATTCTTTGTTGACATATATAATTACACTTACACACTTTTTATCTGCACAATAAGGTTAAATTTTTTTAAAATTATTTGTTGACATAAATAACTAAAATCACACATTTATAAACATTCGATTTACAAAAAATGTTACTAAAAGTTATATTTAAACTACGGTCAAATCACACATTGAGTTGGCTTTCGTGTAATTGACATAAGTTAATACTTTAATTCATACTTCTTTATGATATGAATCATTTCAATAATAAATTTTACAATGATAAGATGAAATACATATAACCCAAACATAGCAATAGTTTAATTGCACTGTTGCTAAGAATTAGTTAAACAATTTTTATTACCATATACATCAAAAAAATCTTGCGTTACTGTCTAGCTAAGGAAAATCAGGTCTAAAAAAAGTGCAAATCTATTTTATTTGCGCAAATCTATTTTATTTGCTTTACGTAACAATATATTATTGTCATACAACTAACACCTCAAATGTTTTTTTTCTGTAGTATTAGAAAACTAGTACAACACCCGTGTATTACACGGGTGCTTGCTAATTTTTTTCTTAAAATTTAAAATCAATGAGAAAAAATAGTTTGAAAATTTAAATACCTTTTGTAAGAATATATATATTATTATATATTTATTATGATAATTTTTATTTGTGCGACTTACTTGTGTTATATTATATTAATTTTTTAACTTATAATATATAACTAATTAAATATAAATATATCAATTGAGAAATAATTTTATTTTTCTAATGAATTTTAATAAGTATTATTATTTTTTATTATTATAAAGATAAATATAATTTATTTATTTTATATATACAATATGGATGTCAAATCGAAGATCATCAAAAGATGATTAATTTGATATATTATATATGTAAAACCGATAAGAAATACAAAAGTTATCAACTTTTAAAATACTTTTATAATTGAATAGCTTATTGAAGGAAGCAAATCAAAATTTAGGGATATATTAGTCACTTAGTCCTCACTATGTAAAATTACAAAT